ATTTCTTCCCCCCTTTGTTGTAATAGGAATACTTTTTAGTTCCTCATTCTGCCCCGTAGACGGGCGAACACCTGGGAGAAGACCCTGGTCAACCATGTCTGGGTTGCTGCCAAGAAGACTACAGGGACGGGTCCATGGAGTTGAGCTCAGTTTGAAGCGGGTGTTGCCTTTAAACCAGTGCTTCTCAACCTTGGCCCACCTGAAGATGCGTGGACTTCAACTCCCAGAATTCCCCAGCCAGCAGATTCTGGGAGTTGAAGTCCACGCATCTTCAGATGATCAAGGTTGAGAAGCACTGCTTTAAACTCTTACGGGAGGGCCAGAGAATGGATCATGCGATCTCCCACTTCTCTTCCTGGACCAGTCTGTTCTGGGTGATGTGAGGGAGTCCCTCTCGTCCTGCTTTGCGCAAAAACCACCCTTTCTGAATTCCTGATGCAGCGCTGGCAAGAGAATTGATAGCAGCAATTATTCCTTCGCAGTCTGGCATGCAGGCAATTAGCAGCTGGGAGTTTGGCCAAGCACGGCACACATGGGGATCTCGGCTCTTTGCTGCACAGGCCTGTCTCCACATGTGGCCACGGCTCAAGGCAAAGGAAATTGATACAGCGACATTTACGCTGCCGGTGCTGGTCAGATGGGCATGACTGCAACGAGAGCAAGAAATTGACATTTTGAAAAATGTCGGCCCTGGCATAGGGATGGACCCATGACATTTTCTCTCTTGGTTTTGGGTTTTTGCTCTTTTTAACTTTTATGCACCAGGGCGCCCACGTTGCTCAGCTGTAGCCCTTATTTCAGGCAATGAAGACACCGTTGTTTTTTGTTTTTTTTAATCTCTAATGTTTCCTCTTTCCTGTCCTCTCCCTCCAGTGGCACATCTTCATTAATTGATGGAGGTGGTATTTATGATGAGAAGTTCTTGTACAAATCCACTGGGTCTGTTGGGGGGACATGGATGACAGCCTTCTCCGTGTACTTGGGTTCTGAGTATTTATTTTTAAAGTACAATTCTCATTTAGCTCTCCACTAACCATGCCGACTGGAGGTGGTGGGCAGTGAACTCTGATACAGAAATCTGCTAAGAGTTTCCATCCTCCATTTCTACGGCCCCATCTGAGTATTTCCTTTACACCTGCTCTTTCTACTCTGATAAGCATTCAAGGCACCTAAAAATGTCCCTTTAAAGGGTTTGTCCTGCAGAGCCGCATAGCTGAACAAATGGGCAAGGAAAGAATTGGCTTCCTTAGCCATCAGTTTCGGCTCCTGAGATTGGGCCCAGTAACAGATCACTACTGCTGATGTTCTCCATATAAGGTGACGTGTGATCTTTTTAACTTGCACCAGTTAGTTTTCTAGCCCGATTTTGCACGATTTGCAACTTCCAGGCATTTCCAGAGGGATCGGAATTGATCCAGACTGAGATGATTTCCATACGAAGACAGAATTGCAGCTGGAGGTCAGGGGTGTCTGCAGGGCAAGGGTGAGGTCATACCACATACAACAGAGAGGAGGGTTTCAATTGTGTAGTTGTGGTTGCCATCTTGACTTTACCGCCCAGCTAACCCCATCCCCCTAATTCTTTCAGATACTTAGGTGGCGGTGACAGAAATGATAGGAGTCTCAGGTGTAGAAGGAAATAAATGCTATTTATGGGAACTATATAATTCAGTCAACATATAACCTCCTGATCGATGCAAAGTCCTTTGCTATGAAGGGATGCAAAATTTTATGAATCCTTTTGAAGGAGCTGCACTTGTGAACCAGCAGGATGCTGGCAGGGCAATGAGTCTGGGGCTGCCCAATGCCTTTACCTACCTATCTTGGACATCGGCAGCAGACACAGAGGAAGCATGGGATGTGGTGTGGTGTGTGTGAAATCCCAGACCACTGGCCCTGGTGTACAAGCCTAATGGAGAGGGGGGGAGAGATGTTGTTTCTCTTTATTCAGCAAATGCAAGCAAGGTCATTTCCCTGATAGGCAAATAGGATTTTCTCAATCCAAGAGAATTAGTGTGCCCAATATCTCTTCTAGTCCCGCTTTCCTGTATCTAGTCTTGGTCTTCTGCCCTAATTAGGTTGGGCGAGCTCAATATAGTTGCAAAAACAGTATCAATCCAGTGCTTAGAGGTGGGATTTCTAAAAGGCACATCACATATGCACGATGCTTTGGAGCATCTAATCAGTGCTTCTCCGCTCTGTCCAGCCCAAGACGGTTGCCGTAAAATTAGCAAAATGGGTTGGGTCAAAGCTGAGCCAATGACCTGAATCGGATTGAAGGGAAGGGAAAAGGATGCAGCAAGACGATTGGGTGGCCTTGAAAAGTTAGCCAGAAATGTTCTTCAGGATGTTAGTAGTTTGGGCGCATGAACCAATCTTCTGCAAGATTTCTTGTACTGCCTTACTAGGAAAGAATTGTTTTCTGTCCCTGGTTTTCTCCTGTCTAGGATTTTTTTATTATACATCCTCCTCTTCCTAGAGCCAGAATGGGACAACTTGCTACGGCCAACTTGCCATAGGTAACTCACGGCCAATTCGCTGCAGGACAACTCGGCATGGGACAATTCAACGATTCAATTTAATTATTTAAAACAAATCATTATTTTAATTTGGATCATGCACATTTCCATTTTGTCCCACCTTTGGCATCCTTTCTTTAATGATTCTACTCTACTATGTCTTGGCTATTAGTGTTAACTCTTGTCCCGTGGTGAATTGGTCATGGCAAGTTGTCTGTGATGAGTTGTCATAGACCCTCCTAGAGCAGCCTGTATTTTGCAAATTCCCAGCTTCCTTCCCGTTTGCACCCTTCACCACATTCAACCACCTCCCAATCAAAATCTTGAGCCATCCTCATTGAAGAAAGAAACCTTTATTAATAAATAATAATAGTAATAATAATAAATACTGTTTATTTGAATGGTCACACTTTTGAAGCATATAGAATGGGGTGGGTAGCTGATGCTCCCAGGGTGGGAGAGGGAGTAGCAAATGGGAGGGGTGGGTTGTACAAGGGGGCAGGAGTGGCAAAGGTGGGGCTATATACAACGGGAATAGAAAAGGAGGATCATCTGGTTGCTGGCATGTCAGGAGCTTTAATGCTGAATAGAAAGTGAGGTTTCATGAAATGACTAAGCCAAGGGGAGGTCAGAAGCAGGGAGGAGGCCCTGAGTCCATCTGGCTCTGGGGTGGGGTGGGCGGGTAATGGGACATGCACTCCTCCCATGAAGGGCTGTGGGCAGGGAGGAAACCCTGGGCGGCAGCGGCGGCGGTGGCAGCATCAGCGGCGGTGGTGCAGCTTGGTTTGTGTAGCAAAACGGTTCTTTCTCCGAATGCCCTGGTGCCCAGCCTGGCCCCCTCCCCAGCTGGGGGCTATGCTGCTATCCCTTGCCAGCCACACAGTCCTTGAGGAAATGCTTGCCCAGCACCCTGGCTTCAGTGTGATGGAGGGGGAGGCGTTTCTCGGCCCTCCGGAGCAAGATGGGAGGTTCTGGGGGAGACCTGGAGATCTCGGATGTTCTCAGCTCTGAGTTCAGCCAGGCCTCCCCCAAGGACAGCTGCCGGGGTGGAGCTGGCTGCCTTGTGGGCCGATGGGAGCCGGGATCCTCAGGGGGAGAGGAAAGTGCAACTTCTTCAAAGAAACCCCCCTTGAAAACCTGGGGTGCCCATCCACCGGCGTACCCCAGAAGCCCTCAGCCTGGCCCTACACCGTACAGGAATCCAAGGCTTGCCGACTTGACCAACGGATGAACCAGCTAAGCGCGAAAACACTGGGAACTTCTGGGATGCAAGAAGCAGGACGGCTAGCCCTGCCGGGCGCTCATGGCGTCGTCTGCGGTCTGAAAGGGCCGCAGGTCTTCAGGAGGGCTGGAAGGAAGACGTGATGGCCTGGGGCCTGCAGATTCCAGTCTGTGTCAGTACCTGTCCCTCCTGGTCCCATGGTCTGCAGCGGGGAGGAGCAGGGCACGGGTCTCCTGATGCGGACAGCATTATGGAGTCTGCGTGGGGCTGCCCTGCCGTCCATCTGTCCGGGCAGACTGTCAGTAGTTGCGCTCCGGCTGGCCTGTCGCTTGGGGCGCATGTGTGGACAGAAGGGGGCTTTCACTCAGTCGCTTGGCTTGTTAGTTTTGTAATTGTTTGTTGCTTTGCTTTAAAAAAAAATGTTTTGTGCCCTTCCTGGTCCCAGAAGGAAACAGCTGAAGGTTTCACTAAAACAGAAAACAAAGGCAGAATGTTCTATGGAGCAACCTGCAGGCTGTGGCCTGGGGGGGAAACGGGATAGGGGGAGAAGGCAGGGAAGCGCTTTCCGCTCTCTCTGTGTGTGCTGGTCCAAAATGTTAGATTTGGGAAGTGGGACTCCCAAGTATCTTTAAGCTCTGCAGGCCCCTTTTGTACATAGTTGTGGGCCCATTTTGCTCAGCAAAATCAGGGATGAGGAAAGTTACCCAAGCCCAGCATAGAACTGGTAGCTAGCATTGTGGAAGGAAGCTGGGATTGCTGGGCCCCACCCAGGGCCCGAACCCAGTCAGTTCCCTCAAAGACCTACATGCTAGGCCCAGAGGGGACCTGTGGCGTCTCCTACCCGCTGCACGTTCTCCAGAATACCCCCCCCCCATCTGTACCAAGGCCAGCATAGCAGTCATTTCCCTCACTCATTTCCCAATGGGAAGAGGGGAACTCAGTTTCTCTCCCCTTGCAAGAGAGGGAGAAAGATGCCCATCTGATTGACACAGGGCCTGTGTGTCCCCTATGGGAAGGATCTGGGCTACTGCCCGCCTGGCACTTTTGCCCTGCCTTTGGTGTGAGGGAGAAGAAGGGCCACTGCACCTGAGGGGGATGGTATCCTGAGTTCCTTTGGCCAGAGCCTCTCCTTTAGCTCTGTGAGAGCAGAAATGATGCAGGAGGTATCCCAAAGGCTGTCATGGGACTTGATCTAACAGGAGAACTCAAGACACTGGGAGGCTCTACAGGAGGCAGGGGACTTCCTTGAGGTTATCCTGTTGGGGTGGATGTGTGTGTGTGTGAGTCTTTGTGTGGTAAAAGCAGGCCCCTGTTCCAGCTCCCTGGCTGGCTGCTTTGCAAAAATGACACAAACGTGGCCATTACACCATCAGAGACAAGTGGGAAGAGAGGCATGGCAGGCGGCTTGAGGTAAAGAGATGGGTGATTTAGGCTGCCGAGGGCCAGCAGCAAGGGGACAGGGGCCCATGTCCACGGGGTTTTGGCTGGATTTCTAAGGAGCAGTCAGTGTTACTACTGTGAGGAGGGTCTGGGTCTGTCTTGCTAGTAGGGAGTGAAGCGGCTGTACCCTCCTCGGTATAGACTAGCCTGCAACATCAAAGACGGAGAAAAAGCCAATCAGTATAAAGGAGAGGCACAGCCCATCCCTGCCCTGTCCTTGGAGCCAATATGGGGCTGGGCACTGAGGCTGGCAGAGAACTTCTTCTGAGGAGATGGGAGCAGTGGGGGGGCGGGGAGAAGTAAAGGGTGGGTGGGTGGTTGGACTCAACCTCCCAGAATGCAAAGCTGCCTTGGAGCAGACTTCACCGGAAAACCATCCAGACGGATAAGGCAGGTATGGATTTTAAAAAAGGAAAGTAAAGTAAAATGGTGCTTTGGGGGCAGGTGGCCTAGCACTTTGCTAGGAATCCTTCCATGGGTAAAGGAAGCAAAGGCCTTGCAGAACCCTGCCTCAATTTCCCTTAATCTAGACAGATGCCTCCCTCTCAGTATTCTCCTCGTTCTGAGGGTTGAAGGGGAAATAACAAGGGTTTTGTTACTTGTTAACTAACAGTTAGTTTGTATTTTAATCTGATTTATATTCTTTCTTTTAAAGTGATGTTAAAGATTTATTAGCTTTCAACATTCCTAAACTGATAAACAAGCTGGAGACTAGCTCCAGATAAGAAAAGTTTGTTAGTACAAATTGGGGTCTGGCTTATTTCTTGTGAACCCTAAACAACCTTTCTCCTTACAATTTATTCCCCCTGAGACCTCATTTTAATAAACATGTATGCTATTGTCCTGTCCAATCAACTTTTCTCTTTCAGGTTTCTTTGTTATGTTAACTATAAAAGGGGATGTAAACTAAAGATCTGGGTTCCCTCTTTGAATGAGGAATCCCTTTTGTCTGAATATTCTGATAAATTGTAATAAAATGATCTTCCTGTCTCGGTTTGTCTCACTGGAAAATATGCACACTGAGGCACGAGCCTGAAAAAGCCACATTTGGCTATCAGGGTTCAATGCAAATCTGTGAGTTGGTGGAATTTCTCGTGGTTATCCCCAGGAAGGCCCTGATGGGCAAAGGTGATGACAGGGTGGCTTGAAATCTTTCTCCTCTTTGATGCTGCCTAGAGACCTGTTTACAAGGAGGCATCACTGCGGGAACCAGATGTGGAAGTGTGTTCAGAAACAGGAAGGATGGGGGGGGGGGAGGTGGCTTTGGGGGGGAGGGTCCCTGTGCACGCACACCTTGCTCAGCTCCAGCCCACTTCCCTCCGTATCTGCTCCTTTAAGCACTGCTTCTGAATGGAAGGTCCCTTACACCTGTGCAAGCTGCTGCTTGCTTCAGGTGGCTTTTAAGAAGGGCATCGCTTGCTCAGGAAACCATCCTTTCTATTATGCACATCCCTGGCAATGAGGGCAACCAGGGCGAGGCCCAGCCCTAGACGTGTGCCGCTTCTCTAGGAGTCTTCCTGCTTAGGGTTTCTCTGGCCCTGGAGAGCTGATTAATAGGACGACAGCTGAGATGCGAGTGTCAATGTCCCCAGAGACATCCCAGATCTTTCTTCCTCTTTGCCCAAGTACCCAACCTGACCGCCCACATCCCACCTCCCCAAGGCCTGCATGGCTATGCACAAAGGGATAGAAGGCCCCATTCTTACCATGGTGCCGATGCTGTAGGTGGCAGCAGGGCCAATAGTGTGGTGATAAGGGTCTGCAGCTGCATAAACTCTGCCGTAACTAGGAGCGAACACAGGGGGCAGCGTTAGAAACTGAGGAATCGCTGAGTTGCCAACCCTAAGTGTTCAAAAAACCATGAATCAGGCCCCAGGCATCATTAACTTTGCTTCAAATGATACACACAGAAGAAACGACAAGAAATGTTCACTGAGCTTTTAGCAAAGACCCCCGAGTGACTTTTCCCAAGTGGGTGTCCGCTAAATGTGCAAGGACCGTGATGGCACGCATGCCCAAAATGGCACATGGAGCCGTGTCGCCTGGCCTGTGAAGCGTTGCCTGTTCCTCATCTGGGTTGCTGGCATTCCTGCGCGTACCACAATCACCTGGCCTTCGTGCCTGCGGCAGTGCTGGAAACTGGAAGAACTGGTTTTCCGTTTTCCGGTACAAGCATGCACGCTGGCTAGCTGATCGCCATGTGCCCATGCACGGCAGTAGCCAGAAAAATAGCTAGATGGCACGCATACATGCGCCACAAACCATCAGTTCATTTTCCAGTGCACGCAAGCCCCCTGGGCAGCTTCACTTCCAGGTTGTGGCCCCGACAAGTGCATGCACACACTCCCTTTTTGGCACTCGGTGCCAAAAAGATTCGTCATCACAATGGTAGGACAGGAACTCCAGCCTTAAAGCCATGCCGCTTGGGAATGCCAGCGGTTGCCGTTGCAGCATTGTTTGGGAGATGCCAATTGGGGAAAGCGACCCAGTAGCGAATTGCTCCAATTCCCCGCCCCACAGAGACATCATTTCAAACCATAAGCATATCAAAAAGGTGAGGGTTAGAATTCAAAAACTACATTTATTATTGACAATCCTCATTCCCTTTTTTGCTGGGATTTAGTTTCGGAAGGGAGAAGGAAAGGACCGGCTTCAGGAGGAACAAGAAGGTCACTGTAAGGATGTCCTTTCCTAGAGAGATACTAATGCCCCCAAAATGTACAGGTTATCACTATAGCCTAAACAAGAAGTGGGCAAGCCTCCTTTGGAGAGTTGGGGGAAATTGGTAGGACAGGGCCCCCAACTGTGTAGTCTCATGATTGTCTCTTTGAGGTCTGCAAGGAATTTTGGATTTCTCCTTTAGTTCTGTGCATTTTGTACCTCAAAAAAAAAAAAAAAAAAAACTACCTTAGTTCTGCTTTTCCGGTTGTGCAAACAGAGATTGTGGAGGTGTGATTTGCAGGGGAGAAAGTGTGTAACCCAGAAGCAGGGAAAGAGTATTTGTTTTCCCAGGAGGGAAGGAATAAAACCATTTGGCAGCCAAAGGACGTGGGGTAGAGTCATACCAGCTGCAGCTCTTCCACATTATCCTTGTTTAACTTCTTGTGTGCATCCTGCAATTCTATGAGGGCACACAGATCACTATTTATTTTAATCAAAGGAGGAGTAGGAGTGCCTGGGTGACTGGGTCGTGCTGATTAGAACTGGTTTTGTAAGGTAGACACAGAATGTAAATAATTGTTTCCTGGCTGTGGATGAAGTTGGAGCAGATCTTTTGTCAATATCTTTAGTCAAAAAGGAAGAAATTATGTGAGGATTTTATGTGTGGGAGAAATGAATAAACAACCAACAGCTAAAATTTCCGAAACTCTTTGACCAACAACCTCAAGTGAAGAATGGAATTAATGTGAAGGTAGAAAAACTAACATTCTAAGAAGATTTTATCATAAGAATTCTTAGGATTTCTTTTCTGTAAATAATGTAACAGAAGTTAGCAGCGTCTAGCCAGTGCTGGCTGATTTTGAAAAGGCAAACAAGATTGGAACTTGTTATTCTCTGGATGGGAGACCACCAGGAATTCCCAGGTTAGACTGAGAAATTAGAAAGACATTCTAGAATTGGGCACTGCTAATCCGCTTCTATACTGTTGCCAAGAAAACTATGTGAATGTCATAGAAATCATTGCTTCTGAGCAGTTTGGTTAAGATCAAGAAGCGTGTCCCGGAAAGGAAGCTTGAATCAACTTTTAATCTTGAAACAGCCCTGTATAGTAGGTAAGTACCAGAGTATTAACAATGACCTACTTTACAGGGCTGCAGTGCTATAGATGGGAACGGCTCTGCTGAAAGCATCACCATCTAAGACCACACATACATGTTCCTTGTCAGATGTGAATGTTCAATCTGATTGGCAAGATCAGCTTGTCCCAATGCAAGTAATTGTGAGCCGTCTTTCAAGAGTAGAAACACGCAACACCCTCAATCCATCAGGAAGGCCACTTGCCTGGTCCCCTCCCTCCTATGTTCATTAAATGTGTTTTCTGACTTATCTCTTTGGTCAGTTGTTGGGCTTCATTTCACTGTAAGCCAATGCCTCTATTCTAAGGGGAAACTGTGCCTGGTGGTGGGAAGGATCCTGCTTCCCTGGCCATCGGTTGCTGTCCTCCTGACCATTCAGCCCTGGGGGGCTGCAGGGGGGGCTGCTATCTTCTGACCAGAAGTCTGGACCAGAAAAGCTATACTTTTTTTCTTTGTTTCCCAGAAGAACTGGTGAAACACTGACGTTTTTAAAAAAAGAAAGCTCACTAGTAGAATGATGAAAAGCTAAGCTTTTTTTTTTTTTTTAAATAACTAGCTGATAACCTGGCATTGCCCAGGTATTTATTTATAGGGGGAAAATGTCTGGACCAAATGTAATTTGTAATGTAGGATTTCCCCCACCACCATCAGAGGGAGCATCCTTGTGGAGTACTGTGAAGCCGTTACCATGGCAACTCCACTGTGCTGTACAGTAGAAGCCATTTTAAATAACAACAGCCTGTATCTTAACAGAACACACACACCGAGGGGTGTTAGGGGTGTCTTACCCCCACCATATTTTTTTCCAGAGAGTAAGTCATTTGTGTACAAGTTTGGTTGAAATTGCTTGCGGCGTTCCAGAGTTATGCTGGAACACACACACACATACACACACACAGCCATTTTTATTTATATAGATAGATTGGTGGAATGGGGAAACAAGGATCTTTTGGTTTTTGTTTAATTAGGTGAAATTTGCAAGAGTTGTGACTCCTTTCAACTGACTAGAAGAATGAGAAACCTGTGGTACTTTTCTTTTCTTCTGGTCCATTGGTCCAGACGCAAGGGAGGGGCTCATATTAAAAACGTTCCAATGGAAACCAGTATCCCAAAACATCCCCCGTGGAAAGAAAGTACTCAAGAAGTGGGAACACCCACCATCTGGGGCTACAATAAATGCAGCCTGAAGTGAGCACCAGGCCACCGTCATGGCCAAAAAGGAGGAAAACTGGAGTTTGAAATCTGGAAAGGTTTTGTTTCCTGCAGGTTTCTACATGGAAGGCAAGCAATTAAAAGCTGCCATGTGGAAGAACCCTTAGTTTATAGCTTCCTTTCTTAATGAGAGTACGGCACACTTTTTATGATATCTCCCTATGAATTAACGCAACATATGTGCATTTTAAGTGGAACTGAACAGCTGAACACACACATTGCTTTACTGAGCATGATAATACAAATATAGAAAGCAGGAGAATGAAACATGTTTCTGAGCAGAATAAAATACCACTGATAAAAATGTACTGCTCTGCTAGTAATATTTCTTGCAATGGGTCACTCCACCCGTTTTATCCCAATATTTCTTAGTTAAGCCCCTTATAATGTATTGTTTCTCATAATATTTTTGTGTCCTTCCTATTTATTTGCCCAGTTATTACTTTGTTGTGCATCTTTAACCTGCTTTTCATTAACAGCAGAATAATAATCTACCGCTAACCTAATTAAATGACAGTCATTTTTTTTAATAGGATGCTAAAACATGTAAAGGGAGTAGGATGATAAGACAATTGCATGTCAATAAATACCTGATTAAGAAAATAGTCTCTCCCACTTCCTAAACAGAGCTTCAGCAGCTACCACTGTAATAGCTGGGCCTGTGTGAAGAAGTGCTGCTTGGTTTTGCAGAATTGTTTTGGCTTCAATAACTGCAGTGAAAAGGCCCCGCAGTGTGGAAAAGCAACTTTGCTTTGAATGAAATGTCTTTGGTGCATGATCAGAATTTCCTTGGAGTCCTGTGAAGTGACTTAGCCCAGAAAGTGTGCTCCAGCCCCTTATTTTGTGGAACCATGTTGAAAAAGCGCTTGGCTGAGTGAACAATCAAAACTAAACGCCCCTTTCAATGTTTCCTACCCCCCCTTGTAATAATTGTGTTTAGAAAAGGAAGATAAGCACAAAGGATTAATTGAGTTGTCTTGTTGCCTCCGAGAGACTCCGTTTAACAACATAACCCCTCCAAATGCAGGCCACTTCAATATAGCCATTCATCTTATCAGCATGAAATTCTGTATACTGGCAAGCCAGAAAGCGCACACATTTCAGTGACAGGTATAAAAAAAAAAGTGTGTGTGGGGAGATGCAATCGTTATTTGTGAAGAGCAGGAGAGAGGAACAAGAACAGGGGACAGGAGGAGGCATGGCTCAGGCCAGAGACTCTTTGTACTGTGGACAAATCAGCTCCCAGTAGAGGTGGGTTGCTGCCTGTTTGGCTCAGTTCAGCCGAACCGGAATTCAGGCAGTGACCCAGGCCTGACACGCCCCTGAACCGGTTCCCTTGCTGTTGCTTGGGCGCCCCCCATTTTGAATTGTAGTGACTGCGCATGCGCAGTTCACTATAAATCGTTCTGTGTATGCGCGCAGAACAATTTATATAGAACCCACGTGCGCGTAGGGCGCATCTGGCGTGTGGGGGTTGCAAACTGGCAGTAACCCACCCCTGGTTCCCAGCCCTTTGGAATGTTGGGGACTCTGCTGCTTTTTTTCAGGGTCTGCCAGGACTTCTGATATTCCCCCTCCCCCTGGGCAAACCAGTCCATGGGGGTTGGAAAACGTTTTTGAGGGAAAGCAGTGCTGTCCCTTTTCTCCACCCCCTGGTGCATCAGTAACAATTCCTTGGTGCAGGGGCTCCATTATAGTCCCTGCATCCAAGGGATGGGCTGACAAAGAGACCAGATGCCAAGGAGGAAGACGGCTTACCTGTCGCTGTAAGCTGTTGTTGCCGCTGCCGCAGGCTGGGCGTATCTGTAGGCCGCATAGCCCCCCTGGAGGAGATGGGAGAGACAAGCATTAGGGGTGATGGCGCGACTGCAGAAGGGCACATCTTTGGGGGGATCTCAGGTGCTGGCTAGGAGGGAGATAGGTACCCACAGGCCCAGCCCCTCTCCAATCTCATTAGCATTCCCTGGGGGCCTTGCTACCATTAACCTGCAGAAATTAAACATGCTGAGGAGAGAATGTCACCTCCCTAGCGGGTGGCGGTGTTAACGAGATGTCGCCTCTGATAAATCTGTCAGTGTGTGCCTGAAGTATTGCCCAGAGCACTTTAAATATGGAGGGGAAATGCTGCTGTAGAACCCGGCAGGCTGACACCAGGCCAGAAAATAAATCCTGCCCTCCGTAGGAGCAGATGCAACCCTTGCCCTACCTCCCAGGTAGCCGACTTCCCCTTCTCCAGCTGCCGAAGCAGGCAGGGAAGTGTGATTTCAAGCCTTCCTTTTCCACCCTTAACCTCCCTCAGCTGTCGAAAGTGCTGGGATGAGCCTTGGAAGAGTGATGAGGAAAGCTGTACGGCTTATGGGGGAGGCTCAGAGGCTGCCCAACTGCTGCTTCTTCTTCTTCCCGAGCTCTGGGCCCCCGGGTTGTTTTCCCCACTGTGTTTTGGCAGCCTCGGCTCCTATTTGCATCACTTAATGAAAAGAGCAAGCAGGGGGGATTTCTCCTTGACAGAACAGCCTTCCTGGAAGGGCCCTGTGCCTGGTTACCAGCAAAGTCCGCCAGGTCTCTGCAGGAACTTAAGTACCAGAGGATGCTTTGCCTGGAAAGGGGGGGGGGGGAAGAGGATCTCCAAAGGAAACTTTGAAAGGCTGGACTTACATAAATTTCAGCACCGTAGAATCCGTCTTGGTAAACCACTCTGCAAAAGCAAGAAGAATGTGGCCGTGACTGAGAGTTACTTTGGGAAGGGCTCACTCCGCAAGGCTGGCTGTGTTCCAGATGGGAACTCTAGAACAGGCCTCAGACGAGGCCTTTGTGGCTTTGGGGTTTGGCCCCCTCCGTTGCTCTTCTCTACCTTGACAGCAGGAGAGGTGCAACACAAGGCGCCATGCGATAGACAGATAGAGCTGTCTGCCTGACAGTCAACAGGGAGGATCATGAAGGTGTTTCTGGGGGAACCTGGACACAGCTGCTCGTGGCTGTGCAGCCCTGCACAATAAGTCACACACATTCTGTGGCAGATTTTGCTTCATTTTTATCACTTTAAAAAGGATCAGCTTTCTGATCCATAGGCTAGAGGATGATCAACACAGCTATCTATTCTCTTCCACATGTCATCTAGCGATGCTTCCCTTCCTGCATCCCTCATGTTTGTCTAATTAGTAAAAGGAGCCTATACAACACAAGAAGGAAGATGATCAGCTTCGGAAGGAAGCATGAAAATAAATATGTTGTGCACAGTACACCGGCATGTACTTAATTGGCTTGCATAATTTATGCTGGCCAAGGAAACAGAAAATTCCTGTTGAAAAAATGGAATGACTGGGGACATGACTTCTCCGGCTGTATGAGTTGACTGTGAAATGTACAGTGCCACCGGGGCAAATTCTCTGCCTAATCTTACCAAAATGGTGGCCCCTCCGGAAATGCCACAATTTCCATAATTTCCAGACAATAGGGACGATCTGTAGGAATCTCTATAGGAAAATTGAGGCCAATGAGAAATCCAAGGATAACTCTGAATTTTCCAAGCATGTGTCCAGAAATCTAGGACAACAGAGACTTTATGTCTTAATCACACTGGAACCACAAACCGAGGCACTTCAGGAAGAAATGTCTTAGAGTTAACATGGCTTATAATCAGATCACACTGCCCAGAGTTGAGACACATGGGAAAGAATCTTCTGGGTCTTGAGAAGATAGCACGTATAACTTCAGCCTTTTTTGGAAGTGCCGAACCACCCATTTTTATAAGGTAGCCTCTCTGCTCAATACTCACGCTCCGTAAGTGGGGATGGGTGGAGGTGGGGGAGCTGCTCGGAACGTGTTGTAGACTGTGCGTCCTCGGCCCCTTAAGTGCGTTCCCCGGTACGCTACTGCAGTTCCTGTGGCTGGATATGGAAAACCGGTCACTGGAGGAGGGGAAGAAATAACCATGAGGACCAGGCTTGAATAGCCCCAAATTTTAAACTCTGTTATCCATTTCCTCCTTCCCCTTCCAAGAATAAGAGATGAACTTTTCCCACCTCCTTCCTCAGGTACACTCTATTGCCAAAAATATTCGCTCACAACTGAGTCTGATTATGTGGATGGGTGAGCGAATGCTTTTGGCAATAGTGTATGTTCCTCACAGATAACCTATGAACCCAACCTGTGATGAAATTCAAATGTTTTTACTACCGGTTCTATGGGTGTGGTGTGACTTGGTGGGCATGACAGTGAAAGGATACTGCAAAATCTCCATTCCCTCCCCACTTTGGGGGCAGCCAGAGGTGGCATTTGCTGGTACTCCAAACTACTCAAAATTTCCGCTACTGGTTCTCCAGAACCTGTCAGAACCTGCGAGATTTCACCCCTGAACCCAACCCATCAATGCAACGGTCCTTCCTATTTAATGTTTGAGGAGCTGTTTCCCAGAAGGGGGAGGGGCTACCCTATTTTCCAAAGCATCTGAAGGCAGGACAAGAAGTTACGGATGGAAACCTATCAAAGAGGGATCCAATCTAGAACTAAAGGGAAATTTCTTGACAATGAGTACAATTAATCAATGGCAGGACTTGCATTCAGAAATTGTGGTGCTCCATCACTGAAGGTTTTTAAGAAATTGGAAGCCATTTGTCTGGAATGATAGGGTTCTCTTGCTTGAGCAGAGGGTTGGACTAGAAGACCTCTAAGGTCCCTTCCAACTCTGTTATTCTGTATTTAAGTTTTTATTCCAAATATTTGCTTTCAAGATTTTTACCCTCTGTCATAATTGTATCAAGAATTATGCATCAGAGCTTCAGAATATGTCTATGTCTCAATTCTAATCACATTTGTTCCCATTTTTTCACAATAAAACCCAGATGCAGACATAGTTTTCTCTCTCTACTTTATCCCTTCTTTTACCCAAACCAGTGCCTGAAGCTGCTTATGTGAAGTACAGATGGAGGAATGAACTGTTTTCAAGGACTATAAGATCTACAAACAGAGCCACCTGCTAAACAGAGCGCAAGATGTCAGGGGTGAGGGCTAAACGATGTCTCACATCCCTCCCAATCCCATCAGGATTCATACACCATATTAAACCCTAAACCTAGGCTAATAACACAGGATTCCTCTACTTATATGCTGGGGCCCAAACAAACAAATGAGATTATGGTTTTATGTGATGGCTGGGTTCATACAATAGGCTAAGAGAGAGAGAGAGAAACTGGGAACCACAGCATCCTGAGCTATAAATTCCATAGGCCCATTTAGCTGTGTTGAATATGTTGTGCAAAAGCATATTAGCTGTGCCAAGAATATTGTGATACATTTAGTGATATGTTTTATGGTGTGTTTATACTACCCTAAATGTGGTTCTGAACTGTTATAATTTGGCCAGTCTAGAACCCTAATTTACAACAGGGAGTCAAAAAGTCTAGCCATTTTACTATAAATTACTAAATAATGTACCTCTAGATTCTGGTTGATAGTCTATCAATCCTAGAGTGAAGTTGTAAGATAGTGATTTGCCTAAAATTAGGCAGAAAGCCCCATGGCTAAGCAGGAATTTTAAGCAAGTGTTTCCCAGATCCAGCACCTCCATTCCCTCCTCAACCCTCCCCTCCCCGCTCCCCGGCTTTTCGACTTCTTGCTTTTTTCTTTATAAGGAATAGCCTGTGGCAACCTAGGAGTAAGCAAGAGCTAGATTCTGGTACGAGATTCAGTAGTCCTGTTAGATGCCTAAGAGAGAAACGCTTGTCCATGGATCTGGCCCAATTCAGACATTACCTGCATAGAATTCAGGGCCATAGACGGCACCCACTACAGGGTTCAGCTTCCAGCCTGGTAACAAAGAAAGGGGCAGTCAGAAAGCATTGCTCCTCCCAGTTCTCCTAAACTCTCCCTAACAGGGGAAGCAATGGCATTCTGAGAAGTGGGTTGGACGGAGTGCTAGACTCATTAGGCATTGCCTTTGAAGCAGTGATGAAATTCAAATTCTTTTACTACTGGTTCTGTGGATTGGCGGGCATCGCAGGGGAAGGATAGTGCGAAATCCCCATTCCCTCCCCACTCTGGGGGCAGCCAGAGGTGGTATTTGCTGGTTCTCTGAACCACTCAAAATTTCCACTACTGGTTCTCCAGAACCTGTCAGAACCTGCTAGATTTCACCCCTGCTTTGAAGAGTTTCCCTCTGGAGCAGTTGCTCTAATAAGCTGGCTACTCCACCTCTTGCCATCTTTGTTTCCAGAAATACAACCCAAATCCATGCTTTGCATTTTTTTTTTAGACAACCCCCCACCCCCCTGGAAGTCAGAACACTTCCCCATTCCCAACCTATAGGGTGGCCTGGAGGAAAGCAAGCTGCCCCCTTTCCAGGAATGCCTGTCTCTGAACTCACTTCAAACACCCCCTTCCTTATTCCATTACCGTTTGTGTAGGGATTAGCTGCCTTTTTGTTTGTCATGACCCGTGCGGTAGCATTGTTGACCTGTTGAGAAACAAGCACCAGGTTACTGATAAGACTTTGGGGGGTCCAAGTGGAATTCACTTCTCAACATCTTGGATTATTGGCCTCTTGAGTTTTAATCTTACAGCTCCTTCCAAGGGTGCTGGCCACAAACAGGAGCGCAACATTAGAACTACTGATGGGCTCGTTGCAAGAGACCACTGCTGAAACTCTCTCTTCCCAGGGTCGTGTTCACAGCTAGCATGCAGGGCCCTGCACAGGCAGTTTTCATGCATACTAGAAATACCATTAACTGGACAGACTAAGCAACGCAGGCAAGAGGAGACCTAAGAAATTAACCCAGTAGAACAAAAGGGTGGGAGTTCCAGCAGAAGAGGATGTCAGGGGCAACAATGCAGCACCCTCCCTCTACCTCATAACTCTGGTGAACCAGAGATCCAGGGATCATCTTCAGTGCTCCAGTGTAAACAAAAGGCTCAACAGCTACCAAGAACTACATTCACAGAAGGGCCTTTTACGTGGTCTACTCTGAAATTGCTCTGTGCTTCGTTTTTGGAAGGCAAAGAGCAAGAATCTCTGACAGGTGACAATTGCACAGGATGGTTTAGGCAGATATTTTTTTGGGGGAAACTTGGACACATCATACTTCACTTCCTTCCCTTAACATTGTCTGAAATGCCTGCCTGTAGCAGATTCTTGATGGAGATGTTCTGCCTTCCTTCCCTTATGCATCCTCCCCTACCAACCAACCTACGGGAATCAAAAGCACAGGACATGCAACATTCACTCGCCCGCCTGCTTGTCCTGGCTAATCACGGAGACAGAAATATATACATGTATATTTAAAGGGTTGTGATGTGGTTGCAAGTGTGAGGCCTAATGCCCGACGCAGAGCAGGCAGTGCATTTGTTCGCACCTCAATTTTGCGTCCCTCTACGATGGTGCCGTTCAGCTTCTCCCGTGCCCGATCGGCATCTGCACTAGTTTCAAAAGTTACAAACCCAAAACCCTGTGAGTGAGGGAGAGAAAGGAAAAAAGGAAAGAGAGAGAGGGGGGGTCGGGGAGGGAGAGAGGCAGGAAAAGGCGAAAAGGATGAAGAAAGAAAAAAGAGGGGCGGGAGGAACAGGACAGAGAGAAGGGGTGAGTAAGGAGCAGCAGAGAAAAGAGGCAGGATGTGAGCTTCCCAAGCCACCCTAAAGACCGGGCGAAGGGGTCAGGGGTGGGTAGGGGAAGGAGCGAGGACAAGGGAGGATAAGGACTGAGAGGAGTAAGAGGACAGGACAAGATCTGCATCACCACTCCGTTAGGGCAATACAGCCCCAAAGGACTGCAAATGTGTAGGATTATTTCCCCCGACTATTGGCTTTACATTTATATCATCCAGGCTAGAGAGAGAGACACACAGTGGGCCTCCTAAAGAGGCCCCAGGGATGGTTGGGGTACAGTTCTGCCCCCTCCAGAATGCCCAACCACCGTGTGACACTTGCTCAGCTTCTGTTCAGTTTAGCTCCCGCAGTCAATAATGGAACAGCAGGAGTTTAAGTCCTGAAAGGATTTCCCAAGTTTCTTTCAAACTTAAAATACCTGAATTATCTCCTGGAACCAAAATTCAATAGTGTATTTTCATGTCTATTATGGGGGAAGAAGAAATATCCACATGTTTCCTCCAAACCTTAATATCATGTTGCCTTAAGTGGCATGTTATGTTATTTTATTCTCTCTGTCTCTGGTTAGAGCAATTTCTAATCTCACCATGAGAGGGTGATCTTTTTCTGCATTAAATTACTTTTAGTGGCAGCTTTGTGGCTGACAGTTTTCACTCTTTCTACAGGACTCTGAATCTAGCATTGTTTTGGTTAATTCTTTGCAACCAGCACAGCATGGTTTTCAAAGGGAGAGTTAGAATATCAACAGGTCCTTCTTCCATCTAAAGTCACCAGGCTTGAAGGGATGGTGAGGGGAGGGGCAGTTAGAAACCAGGAGGCCCCCTGTGGCAGAGAAAGGAAGTGGTAAAAGGCAGGGATGCAGAACGGAGGAGACAGACTGGCCCCTTGGGAACACCCATCTACGGGGACATTTGGGTTGTAGCAGACGCCAACATGTTGAACCCACCTTGGAACCGCGCTCATTGAAAATGATCTCAACATCCAGGATCTTTCCAAATTGCTGGGGGGAGAAAAAGAGGGACAGGGGAAGGGGGAAGAAGGAAAGGTGAAAATGGGAGCGGAGACATCGTTTCTTTCCATCCCGGCTTGGAAAACCCTTGAGCTTTGATTTACTCCCAAAGGGGGCATGTCCGGCAGACATCTATCGGACACCCTTGAGTATCAAATACAGGTAGTCCTCATGTACAGGTAGTCCTTGATTTACGACCACAATTGAGCTCAAAATGTTCTGTGGTTAAGTGAGACATTAGTTAAGTGAGTTTTGCCCCATTTTATGACCTTTCTTGCCCCAGTGGCTAAGTGAATCACTGGAGTTGATTAGTTGGTATAGTATAGTCTTTATTGTCATTGTACAAAATAAATACAACGAAATTGATTATCCGGTTGTTAAGTGAGTCTGGCTTCCCCATTGACTTTACTTGTGAGAAGGTTGCAAAAAGGGATCACATGACCTTGGGACACAACAATGGCCATAAATATGAACCAGCTGCCAAGCATCTGAATTTTGATGACGCGATCATGGGGAATGCTGCAAAGGTCGTAACAGTGAAAAAACGGTCACAAGTCACATTTCTCAGAGCCATTGTAACTTTGAACGGTCACTAAACAAAGTGTTGTAAGTCGAGGACTACCTGTACTGACCGCAATTGGGGTCGGCAACATTTCTAAGCACATGGTTCATGTGATGGTGCCCAACCTATGCTTGTTCCGCGGCAGTTTTAAGTCATGTGACTTGATATTTCTCACAGGCTTCCCCACTGACTTTGCTTGTTGGAAGCTGGCTGTAGAAGGCTGCAAATGGCAATGATCACATGACTGTGGGACACTGTAATTGTCATAAATGGTTGTAAACTGGTTGTTCCGCAACTATGGCGATGCTTGCAACCGCCACAATTTCGAAGATCAATTGTAAACCTACTTTTTTTTTCCAAATTTGCAGTCATAAATTTGGTAAGCGAGGACTACCAGTATTTATACACATACAGAGAAAGAACTTCTGGGATCTACCATCACACTTAGGCAGATGCTGCTCTGTTTCCACTGGCTGCTAGGAACCACTATCACCCGTTGGAAGTACAGGAGGTGTTTTCTGCCTTATGCAATACTCAGCCTTTGAATGACATGTCCTAGACATGCTCAGAGAAACAGGTTTAATCCTGCTTGAACCCTGATCACCACAAGACCTGCAGAGTTCTGTGGGGGTCAGAGGGAACAGATAGCCAAAGGGAACATTCCTGCCAAAGAGGAATGAAAGCAAGAAGCAGGCACTTTAGATACACGGATAATTAAAAGGTAGAACAAGAGTTCGTAGAAGCCGTATAAAGATAAGAAGTAGATCTGACAACATTTGGACCCAACACTCTTAGCTTGATTGATATTCACTATTTTGGACTGATTTGCTGAATTCATAAATGGTGATAAATAATGCTCTGTTTAAACCATTGTTTGTTAAGTCAGCCCTAGTGGTTCACACAAAACATTCAACTGTAAACTACCGTATTTTTGGGTGTATAAGACACACCCTTTTCCCTCAAAAAAGAGGGTGAATAACTGGGTGCCTCTTATACACTGAATACAGTATTTTTGGGCTACTGAAACCCCACCCCCTTTGCAAAAATGGCCATGCATAGCCTTTAGGAGGCTTCCAGAGTGCTCCTGGGGTCTGGGGAGGGCAGAAATGAGCATAAAATGGGCCTTTTGCTCACTTTTGCCCCCACCCTACCCCCCAGGAGCACTCTACAAGCCTCATAAAGGCTGTGCATGCCATTTTTGACAAAAAAACGGGCCGTTTTTGGGAGGTCTGCAGAGTGCAAAAACTTCTTTATTTGCCTCTTCAAAATCTTGGTGCGTCTTATACGCCAAAAAATACGGTATGTTTTACAAACCACAATGCCAGGTTCACGTATCACATGAAACAAACAAACAAACAAAAAACAACCCCTGAGTAAATTATAATGTGAAAGAAAGAACTAAGTCAGTTCGTTTCCCAGAAGAAACACCATGGGTCTTTGTACATTTCTATGTTTATTTAGCACAGGAAGGTGACGGACTTACCCCAAACATTTGCCGCAGATCAGGGTCCCGGAAGCGGAAAGGGATGTTGGAAACGTGTAGCCGCTTAGGCTGCTGCTTGTCAGAACCATTCTCCGGTAGGTGTAGTGTCTGGTTGTCTGTCTGCGCTGCTTCGTCTGTCTGCTGGTGAAAATAAATACATTAAAGCACCCTTGTGATTCTTTCTAGGTGTCTGTGTGTATGCATGCGGGTGCGTGGTGGTAGGGTGAGGCAGGGAGGGCCCCATCGCTGCTTGCGATTGGCAGATTTCAAAGGTATGAAATGAATGTAGCAAAAATGCTGGATTGGATTTGGGGCAATTAGGTTTTCAGCCTGCAGGCATATTCACTTTCCTGGGTTTAGCATATAATCTGTTCTTTCTGCTGAAGACTGGGGTTCATTTTCTGCAGTGCTTGGAGCTGGAGCCATTTCTCTGTTTAAAGCCCTCTTTTTGTTCCTTCTCTTTTCTCCCAATTCCTACCAGTTTGGTCGAGTAGGTATTAACTTGGCCCGCCACACCCCCGAACCAGTTTTATCGGTGATGTTGTAGGTGCCGCCATCTTGTTTATTGCTCCTGCGCATGTGCGCATAGCACGCATCGTGTGCGCCCCTGAAGCACATCCCTGAGCAAACGGCAGTAAAAGAAGCTGGAACCCACCCCTGAATTCCCCACCCCACCCCCAATCCACCAGAGACTTCCTCTCTGCCTGGAGAGCAGCTTGTTATTGATACAGCTCTGAAGTGATCTACTTTTGGAGGGCTCCTTCCATTCACACAGTGTCCCACTTCCACTTTGGTTTTGCTTCTTACGCCCCCAGTTCTGCAGGTGTTCTGAACTCATCACTTCAAGGGGGCTCTTTCATCTTAGCTCTCCCCAATGTTTTTTTCCCCACCTGTTGGACCCCATTTCCCTGTTCCCTGTCTAAGATAAGGCCAAAGCTCGGGGCTTTCCTGCTGCAGGGTCCCCATGATCCCAAGAGGCACTTGGGAACATGCATTCCTATGAAAGTGATGCTACTGGTCAACTTTTAATGTCATCCTGAGACGAGGCTCACACAGTGAGCTATTGCACAGTTTGTTTAGCTGTGGCTTGCTGATTAAAAAACGAAGATCTGGGTTTACCCAACATTCAAGCCATAAACCATGACTTAGATGCATGATAACCAAACACAAACAAATCACATGATGGTTTAGTGCAATATGAGAAGCCAGTCAGGGAGTGGTGGCATATGCTGTCACTTAGGGACTAAGAAAATGAGCTGTGAAACCAAACGTCCCCGGTTCAGCTCTTTAATTTGGCCTCGGACAAGCCACCATCCTTCAGCTTCACCTTCCCATTTATAAAAAAAATAGGGGCCATACTCTTACCCCTCTACCTAGAACAGCAGTAGCACCCAAGAAAGTAGACCAAGAATCAGCGTGGACCCAAACGCACAAGCTTTGGGAAAAGGAGGCCGGGGATGCGTTGGTGCCATCCTGGGTTTGCATGCATTCTTGCATACACAGGACTAGGTGGGGAGGCCGAGCTCACTCTCAGAGCTGCGTGGTGGCGAGCAGCCAGCCTGGCACTCAGGGATTGAGGAGCAGCTGGGAACTGCTCACTCAGCGCTTCTTCGCTGAGCTGCATTACAACCACATCATTGGCACGATAGGATTGGCAAGCGGCCAAGCAGGTAGATTACAAGTGATTAGGGACACAAAGTGAGCCAGGAAACTTAAGTGCTGAGCCACAAATGCCCATGGGGGTATCAGGGTGCTGGGATGGCTTCTCCAAATCGGCCTCCCGCTGCATAAGAACTCTGTTATTTTCACCCTGCTCTTTGCTATCTCTGGGCCTCAGATGGAAGTGGAAAGAAGGCCAAGCAGACAAACTACGAATGGAGGCAGAGGGGGCATTGGGTTTGCAGCCTCGCTCTTCCCTGCTCCCCATAATGCAGCCTCTCAATCATGAGCCAAGGGGTCCATTTTTCCAACAGAAATTTCTTCTCATCCAATTTTATACACCTTCCCGCAAAGTTCCATCCTTCCAGCTTGCATTTTTTTCAGGAAGAGACACTCCTTTCTCCTTCTTCATTGGATGTCTACTTCCCTGAACTGCCCCACTCCCTCAAAATGCAGGCAGACTCAACAGCAAAGTCAGCCCTGTAGGGAAAAGTCTCTTACCGGTACCGTTTGTGTGCCTGCTATGGACTGTGTGCTGGCATCAGTGCCTGGCTGTTCGGAGTGGCTCTGTGCTGGGGTGTAGAGCGTCAAGGCATGCTCGGGTACTGTGCTCTGCCCCGAATAGTCCTGTGCTGGATGTGGGTGTGGTGGTGGAGGAACATACTCTGGAGGGATACCATTCTGTGGGGGTGGTGGATAGGTTGCCGGGGGATAGGGTTGAGCCATTGCGTCAGGCGGAGCCGTGGCGTCCTGATTGCCCTGCAGAGATAGGACAAGAGAAAAATACTCCTTATTCATGACTGACAACCTCAAGCCAGGCTGTGAGCTTGAACCTTCATCAGCTCCTCACTCTCTCTCAGCTCAGGTGAATTCCAGTTAATCTTCCCATAACACAAGGCCGTTAAGTATTGGCTAAAACAGTAATTGCTTCCAACACCAAGGCAAGAAAGAATGCACCTTTTCAACACAAACCTTTTAACTGCCATAGAATTGCTGGACATCAATTTATAGGAGCAGAGTGGAAGCAGTGTACACGGGACGATAAAATCTTCAGGGTAGATGTGCCCATCGTTATTCTAGTTTTCAATGGATTTGATTAGACTCTCATTCTCTTCTGGGAGAATTAGAGACATAAAAAGCATCTCACCAAAGGCAAGTTGGAATTACAAGGAAAAGATAAAAATTATGTGTAGAGCAAATAAAAACCTGCTCTAGAAAACCTGTCCAGCAACTTCATGGAAGATCAAAAGTGTATTTCTTTTATAGCATTCTTTTTCATGTACCATATTTTTCAGAATATAAGTATTTTTTCCCTCAAAAAAGAGGCTGAAAATCTGGGTGCGTCTTATACACTGAATACAGCATTTTTTGTCTCCCCAAACCCCATCCCCTTCATAAAAATGGCTGTGCAGGGCATGGATAGCCTCTAGGAAGCTTTTAGAGAGCTCCTGGGGCCTGGGGAGGGCAGAAATGAGCAAAAAAAAAAAAAAAGGCCCATTTTTTGCTCAATCCCCCCCAGCTCCCAGGAGCACTTTATAAGCTTCCTAAAGGCTATCCATGCCCCCCCTTTTTTTACAAAACACGGGCCCGTTTTTGTGAAAAACGGGCCATTTTTTGCACATTTTTTGCCACCCCCCTCTGCAAACCCCCTAAAGGCTATACATGCCTTTTGGGGGGGGAATGGGCCCATTTTCACAAAAAATGGGCCATTTTTGGGATATTTGCAGAGTGCAAAAACTTTTTAAAAAAAATTTGCCTCTTCAAAACTTGGCTGCGTCTTATACTCCGGTACGTCTTATACTCTGAAAAATATGGTATATTCTAAAAAGCGAATTAGCTATTTTTTTTTAAAAAAATATCGGCATTACAAATTGCAACAGCTACCAACTTTTATGTTTGTATGTCTAAACTGCAGGTACATCACCTGGACACCCGTGGACTTAAGCAGAGTATCAATTTGTTTTTTAGAGATGGGAGAAAGTAAATTGGGTGAAAAAAATGGAAAAATTGCCTTTAGGACAGGAGGAAAGCCCCCAGTTCATGCTTATCCCAGCTGAAAGGGAAGCAAAGGGGCCAAGAAAGCAGCAAGATCTTTGTAAGACACAGTATGTGTTTCGGTGTATTAACATAAACAATTATCTCGATCAAAGGTCAGCCATATTTCTAAATGTTGGGCCTACTAAATCCAAAGATTATACTTTCAAATGGAAGTGGAAATGTCCTTCCTTCCTAAACATACATGGGGCAGTCACCCAAGTATTGATTTAAGATGAGATATTGCAGGGATTTTATTATTCCTGCTATTTTGCCCTTCCTGCCTTCCAGCAAAAATCAAACCTTTATGTCCCATTCTCTTATAGGGATAAAGTTATTCATTCGAAATCATTGATATGCATTGATTAACACCTAAAACTGGCCTATCTTCATGTTTTAAAAAAGGGAAGGGGATTCTGAACTAGAGAAGAACATGGCACTTGCTAAATGATAGCAACTCAGTTTCTTAAATACTGCATCAAAAATGTGTTAATTTCAATGAAAGTTAGAAAAGAGAAACAAGCATTAGAGGTCTGTGGTTGCTTCTACACTAGATATGTTTAGTACTGCTGAGACACTGTTTTTCCACAATTTTCTGGAAGTGGAATTAAAATCAAAATTCCACCCAGCACTGAATATACCACTATATTATCTACAACATATTCTTTCACCATTTAGATTTTTCTATAATGTTTATTCAGAATTAAATCCCATTCATAAACATCTTTCTCAACATTCATGGTTTTTATTGTCCAATTTACAGATACTTACCACTAAATTGTTTGTTCTTACTTATGACTACCCCGTTTACATATAGCCAATTTATTGACCTTTGAACAGCATTTCTTAATTGTTCCAGTGTTCAAGAGGCTTTAATTACTGGTTTTGAGCAAAAAAAATCATTTAAACCACCCCCTTCCCTATGGGAACAAAAACTGATGCTGAGACCATTAAACAAGGCTATTTATCATTACTAACTAGCTATTCATCATTGTTTCCCACCCCCCTTGAAATGTACCAAAAAGAAAAATTCAGGTGGTTTCAGCTTACGACCACAATTGAGCCCAACATTTCTCTTGCTAAGTGAGACAGTTGTTACCGTATTATTCGGATATAAGACGCACCAAGGTTTCGAAGAGGCAAATTAAAAAAAACATTTTTTCACTCTGTAAACCTCCCAAAAACAGCCCGTTTTTCACAAAAACAAACCTGTTTTCCCCCCCAAAAAAGGCATGAATAGCCTTTAGGGGGCTTGCAGAGTGCTCCTGGGGCGTCCTCCCCCAAAACAAGAAAAAAACGGCCCATTTTTTGCAAAAACAAGTCCGTTTTTTGTCAAAAATTTGCATGCATAGCCTTTAGGCTTATAGAGCAGTGTTTTTCAACCTTTTTTGTGCAAAGGCACACTTTTTTCATGAAAAAAATCATAAGGCACACCACCATTAGAAAATGTTAAAAAAATTTAACTCTGTGCCTATGTTGACTATATAAAAGTGTTTTTCCCACGGCACACCTTACACTATGTCACGGCACACTAGTGTGCCGCGGCACAGTGGTTGAAAAACACTGTTATAGAGTACTCCTGGGGGCTGGGGGGGCAAAATTGAGCAAAAACCGGCCCATTTTTCACTCATTTCAATCTTCGCCAGCTCCCAGGAGCTCTCTGAAAGCCTCCTAAAGGCTCTGCATGGCCATTTTGGTGAAGGGGCGGAGTTTCGGGAGGCAAAAAAATGCTGAATTCAGTGTATAAGACGCACCCAGATTTTCAGCCTCTTTTTTGAGGGAAAAAGGTGCATCTTATACTCTGAAAAATATGGTAAGTGAATTATGCCCCATTTTATGACCTTTCTTGCCATCCTTGTTAAGTGAATCACTGCAATTGTTAAATTAGTAACATGGTTGTTAAGTTAATCTGGCTTGCCCCATTGACTCTACTCGTCAGAAGGTCGCAAAAAGTGATCACATGACCCCGGGACACTGCGACCATCATAAATATGAGCCAGTTGCCAAGTGTTTGAATTTTGATCATGTGACCATGAGGATGCTGTAACAGCCGTGTGAAAAAACCATCATATCACTTTTTTCCCAGTGCCGTTGTAACTTTGAACGGTCATTAAATGAACTGTTGTAAGTCGAGGACTATCTGTAAGATTTTGCGAAATGAGCCTCTCTATAAGGGCACAGGACACCCCCTTCTTCCCCTAAAAAAATCTGAATAGCATTTTACTTGTTCCCATAGGGCAGGCTATGTAACTCATAGAGGTTTATCGCCCCTCACCCATAATATAATAAATTTTCCCTGACCTAGACTATTTTTCAAATTTTTGTTACAAGTTAACTCTCATCAACTATTTTAATATGCTTAAATTAATGCCCTGCTCAAATATTCCTTAAATAAATTTTTGAATAAAATTATTGGACTATAAATCCTTTGGCTAGCCCTAAAACTTACATACTACTTGTTAACGGACATAAAATTGAGAGAGAAATACTTTGTACACAGTAAGGAATATTCATATACATATGGTCAAGAGTTCTAGTAGTGGCTTCTATATTCCAAGTACTGACAAAATGCAACTTGGTTCATCTTGAACATTTGGCAATAAAGATCAAGTCGGTAGAAAATTACCCCATCTATAATAGGAGACCCAATTTGGCAGATAGAAAGAAATGGTCAGTATAGGTAAGTGGGAATTGTGTTGGATTGGGTCGAAATTGTATCTATTTTGCTCGATATTCTGGGGAAAACCAGAAGTTGATGGGGATACCACAAGCAAGACATCAGGTACAACAAAAAGGCAACCCAGTTGAATTGCCTGTTCACTCTTGTGGACACAGAAATCAAAATCCATGACAACATGAATGATTTGGAAGAGAGTCCCAATTCTCCAAATCCCACGAAAGTACCCAGCTTGTATCCACGTCAACTGTCATCAGGGAATTTCAAGTTATGATTCACACACGGAAGATGTTTCCACCTTCTCTGCCTGATGTTAATTGTAACTGATTGCTGTTCTGTGTCTCCCACACGATGCCAAAAAAAAAAAAATCTTCTCAGCCACTAGTTACCATTAGAAATATTTGATGGGAATGTGACTCATATGCTAGGGACAGCTTATGTGACGATTGATCTTCAGGTGACAGTCATCACGAAAGGTATTATTTATTTATTACTGGATGCATATCAAAGGTGGGTTGCTTCTGGTTTGGCCCAGATCGGGCGAACCGGTAGTAGCGGGGGTGGAAGGCTCTGCCCACCCATCCAGATGCTCCTATGCATGCGCAGAAGCATCACGCACGAGTGTGCGCACGAGTGAACAGGTAGTAAAAAAAATGGAACCCACCACTGAGGCATATCCATGTTTTTTGTACTGTTCAAGATCCTCCTATTTTCCTCAAAACAACTTTTTGAGCAGAGGTGGGTTCCTACCGGTTTGGACCGGTTTGGCTGAACCAGTAATGGTTTGGCAGCATAGGTCGCTGGAACTGGCAGTGACCCAGGCTGCCACGCCCCTGAACCGGTTCTCCTATGAGGCTGCCATCTTGATTTTTGGTTCTGTGCATTTGGTTCTTCTTTTAATGTTTTGCGCATGTGCAGACCTATTTGTGTGCAAATGGGCACGCAAAATTTTTGCACCCACCAAACCGGCAGTAATGCTGGGAGCAACCTGCCCCTGCTTCTGAGGTGGGTTGGGCAAAGTCCCTCAGCCAATCTCCATGTCAAAAGG